TGCAGCTTCAGCCACCTACACGCGATGAGATCGTCCGCACGCTTTTTATCGGCGGGATTACGGAGGGTGCAGGTGGTGATGATGGCATTGAGCGTATTCTACGATCTACTGGTCTCTTGCGTCGCTGGATTCGCGCCACAGATGCTGATGAGAAACCTTGCCGGTTTGGCTTTGCCGAGTACGAGGATCCAGAGAGTCTCGAGGTCGCGGTTGAGATGTTGAAGAACGTGGAAGTGCCGGTCAAGAGACAGACACCCCGCGCCGAAGGTGATGAGGAACAAGAGATTGAAAAGAGCAAGCTTCTAGTGCGTATAAATTGGCCCCGTTTCCTCAAATCTGACTTCTAACTCTAATAGGTTGTTGTCGATGAAGGTACTCTCATGTACCTAGAGCAATTTGAGTCTAGCCGAACAGAACAAGACCCCGAGGACCGCCAGGCACGTTTCACCGCTGCGCGTAAAAATCTGGATAATGTCTTGTCGAGCCTCTTCTATCCCACAGTCCCGCTTCAAAAGGAGGAGGTGTCGGCCCTTGATCGGGAAGGCGACATCGAAATGAAGGATGCCGAGCTTGCGAAGGATGGGGAAGTGGTCACTATTCCCATTACAATTGAAGATGAGCTAGCCGATATCCCTCCGGAGATGCGCGCCAATGTGGCAAAGGAGATCTCGGCTTTCCGTGAACGCAGTACCCGCCGCGACATCGAGCGTATGAAACGCGAGGAAGAGATCGAGGCGATGGAGCGTGCACGCAGCTCTGGCTCTCGAATCAATCGACTTGCCTCGCCTCCGGCATCCGCTCCCAGTGGTCCTGCTGCTGGTATCAACGGTATTCCGTTGGGCCCGCGGGATCGCAATGTGTTGAACGCACCTTCTGGTCCGAAGGCGTTCGGTGTGCAGATTCCCAAGGATTATCAGAAGGGAGTTTCTTTTGTCAATGGTGGATCCCTCAATGGGGTCTCCATTGACCGTGAAGGCGAGGATTCCGATGCCAGCGACGAAGAAATCGAACGTCGCCGACAGGATCGCCTCAAGACTGAGCAGGAGAAGCAATTCTCAGACCAAGAGCGCCGCTGGCTTGGCCGTGAACGCAGCAGAACCGCTGCCCTAGAGCGAGAGAAGCAGCGTGAGGATGAGGAAGATGGAAAGTTGCAAGCTGCGCACGATGAGATGGAAGCACGACTTGGCGCTTGGAACGACGATATCGAGGACAGCCGAAAGGCGGTCGATTACTACGCAGACCGCAGTGCCTGGCTCCGGAACCGCGCAAGCTTCCGTTCTCGTGAGGCCAACATTGACGATGCCGATCGCGCCGCTGAGGATCGCGAGCGGGTGCAATCGGCCAAGCAGCAAGAGCAGGCTCGCGGCATGGCGGACGACTTCCTCGCTCGCCAGGCAAAGGAGCTCGAGACACGTCCCCAGGAGGCACCCCGTGAACCCCAACGCTTCAAGCTCTCTCTTGGAGCCGCCGCACAGAAGGCCCAGGCCGCGACCAGCCGCCGCGCAATGGCCGACGTGGAAGGCCTGCTAGAGGACGAGGAAGAGCCCGCTACTACAACCCGTCGGCCGCTCATTCCCATCAAATTCGATTCCGCGGCCGAAGCTGCAGGTCTCACCGACGAGGAACGTGCTCAGGCGGCCCGTCAACTCGCAGCGGAGATTCCGGCTGAGAAGGAAGGGCTGTGGAACTGGGCGGTCAAGTGGGAATTTGTGGACGATGCTGTCATCACCGACCAGCTCAAGCCTTTTGTCGAGAAGAAGATCGTGGAATATCTTGGTGTACAGGAGCAAATGCTGGTGGATGTGGTGGAAGAACATGTGCGGAAGCGTGGATCGCCTCAGGAGTTGGTGGAGCAGCTGGCGGAAGTGAGTGTTTATCCCTTCTTCTTCTTTATGAGACAAGTTACTGACCGCAGTTTCCTATCTATAGGCATTGGACGAAGAAGCCGAAGTCCTTGTTCGCAAGCTTTGGCGGATGATCATTTTCTGCTCCGAGAGCGAGAAACGAGGCCTGTCCTCGTGATAGGGCTGCATATCAAAGACAGGTCCCTATGCCTGATGTCTTTAAGCTTCACTGAAATACGACTACAACTACACAAAGGAATAGTTGCATGTATGGTTCCATTCCAATCTTTCTGAAATCGGATATCCTCGGTGACTTTTCCGCCAGGTCTAGTAGTTTGCATGTAAATGCAACCTCCAGGGTTTTACTAGTTTGGGGTAAATCACGGAGCAGCTCCGAGTATAGTATCTGCGCTGTGGTTGGTGGAATGACGTATTTTGCCGGAATTTACAATTCCCCACCAATCAGAGTGGGCCTGCGGCAAATGACAGAGGGGGCGCGGGATAAACTGGAGATGGCGGGGGAATATATTTGCTGGATATACAGAGTGGAATCGCTTTTGTTTTGTGAAAACTTTTCCCACTGATATCTCTCATCTCCTAATCTTCCCTGTGCGTCTTCGAGCTGCCAAAAAGGGTGAAATCGACTCTCAACTCTATACCTCGGATATATACCGCATTTCTACATTAACCATCGTGTTTCTCTAAAACTTACCTGCGCCAGCAGCATTGCTAGCCATTGACGGAAGTAAAACATATTCTTACCATCGGAAGTAACAACTATTCAGAATGGTCAAAATCACTGGCTTCACCACGCGGGACGTGAGGTTCCCAGTACGTCAATCTTACCTCCAGAGCAGTTTCGTATACTTAATGCACCCAATCCTGACAAGCCCACTATAGACGTCGCTTGACAAGACCGGTTCAGATGCTATGAATGCAGCAGGTGACTACTCCTCCGCCTACTGTATCATCACCACAGACTCAGAACACTCCGGACACGGCATGGTACGTCACACTGCATCACCCACCCGCAACACTCCAATTAACCTAAGCCCCTATAGACCTTCACAATCGGCCGTGGCAATGAACTTGTTTGTGCAGCAATCTCCCTGCTCGCCCCAATGCTAGTTGGCAAAGATCTGGACGAGATGACCGCAGACTGGGGCAAGACCTGGCGGTACCTTGTCTCCGACAGCCAGCTGCGCTGGATCGGCCCCGAAAAGGGTGTGATCCACCTGGCTCTCGGCGCCGTCGTCAATGCCCTCTGGGACCTGTGGGCCAAGACCCTTGGAAAGCCCGTCTGGCGCATCGTTGCGGACATGACCCCCGAGGAGTTCGTGCGTTGCATTGATTTCCGCTACATCACTGATGCCATTACGCCTGAGGAGGCTATCAGTCTGCTGAAGGAGGTTGAGTCTGGTAAGCAGGAGCGTATTAAGGAGGCTGAGGCTAGCAAGGCTGTCCCTGCCTACACTACTAGTGCCGGGTGGTTGGGGTACAGCAAGGACAAGTTGAAGATGTTGTTGCAGCAGAGCGTTGAGCAGGGGTATAGACATTTCAAGCTTAAGGTCGGAGGAAATTTGGAAGATGACAAGACTCGCTTGCGTATTGCACGGGAGGCTATTGGGTATGACAAGGGTAACATTTTGATGGTTGATGCCAACCAGGTACGTTATCTCTCGCGGAACAAACTCCATTACACTTTCGAATCAGACTGACACTTGGGAAATAAATAGGTCTGGTCCGTCCCCGAGGCAATTACCTGGATGCAAGAACTTGCAGAGTTCAAGCCCTGGTTCATCGAAGAGCCCACCTCCCCCGATGACATTCTCGGTCACGCCGCCATCCGCAAGGCTCTGGCCAACACCCCCCACGGCCCCGTCGGCGTCGCAACAGGCGAGATGTGCCAGAACCGCGTGATCTTCAAGCAGCTGCTGCAAGCCGGTGCCTTGACTGTTCTGCAGCCCGACGCCTGCCGCGTCGGGGGTGTGAACGAGGTTTTGGCTATTCTCCTTCTGGCACGTAAGTTCGGTGTGCCTATCGTGCCGCACTCGGGAGGTGTCGGTCTGCCAGAGTATACACAGCACCTGAGTACGATCGACTATGTTGTTGTTACCGGCAAGAAGAGTGTTCTCGAGTATGTGGATCATCTCCACGAGCACTTCGTCCACCCATCCAGCGTTAAGGACGGTTACTATGCTACCCCCCTGGAGCCTGGGTACAGTGTCGAGATGAAGACTGAGAGTATGGATGCTTTCGAGTACCCCGGCCAGGAGGGGAAGAGTTGGTGGAGATCGGAGGAGGCTAAGAGCATTATTGATGGGCCCAGAGTTGCATAGATTTGTTGATAGGTTTGAGCGTGCGGTTTGTTATAGACGATCATGTGTTTATGTGTTCAATAATTTTCAAAATTTGTGTTACATATAGTATCTACTTGGTCTAGATTGGCTGTAACCAGGGGACTACGGGACGGGCCGTTATAGGAATCTACGAATTAGCGAAAGCTATCCGAATTTCGTTAAAATAGGGTGTAAGGGTTAAGGAGATAGTTTAAATAGAATATATTAAACATAGACTTATAGACTCTAGAGAGGAAAAGAGAAAAGAGAGAGACTAAGGATCAAACTACTGGAAGTCCTAGGACCGTTGTAGGTCACATGACACTAACTCAAACGATTACCCTGCATATTCGGTTCGATTTTTCAGATCCCGATCTGTTGCTGTGGATTGATTCATTTGATCTTCGAATCCCTCCATTACGTTTCCCCGCTATTGTTACATTACAATCTGCTAAGGTCGCGTCCCCAGGGTTTGGGCGCGGTCATTCCGCCTGGTTCGGCTTGGCTTGCACGTCGAGAACATACAACATTATTGGGAATAGCGTTATCGGATCGAATCATCATTTGCGACCTTTCCTATTCTGGGATGGGTTGTTTCCTGTACACATCACCCAAGCCTTCAGTATCCTTTTCGAGCACAACGCATCGCGCGCGGGACACCCTTTTCTGCCATATTCTAGGGTCATCGCTTAAAACGTACGCCTTTTGACCTCAGCGAAACCCCGCCATAGTCGATTCCTGCAGGCCGCTGTCCATGCGGTCATGATCCGAACACGAAAGAAAAAGTGTCGCACAGCATTATCACACATCTTGACGGATGACCAATTCCGATCGCCTGGAGTTCCCATCGGGAGCTCAACTCGCTTATCTCGCTGAGGGGGGCGCGAACGTAATCTATCGAATCATATGGGCGCCGGCGGCAGCGAGGCCTAAACAGAAGGATGCGGCGCCTAGTAAAGAACAGATGAGTATACCCCCCATGCTACGGGGGAAGCTACTCCGACTACGCAAGGAGACCAAAGCTGGAATCTCTTACCAGGAGATCTCGCACAACTTCAACAGAATTATTCAACCGTTGTTCCAGCCCGAGGAGGTAGTGGATCAAACCCTCGTCCAGCTACCCACGGGACTGGTGCAACAGTGCAACGAGCGGCTTCGTGCCGCTGAACTTAACGGCACGCGTCCTCGCAGACGATACGGGGTGTATCTGTCGCTCAACGAGCCCTTCGGTTTGCTAGTGACGGACATGACAACCTTTAGCGATCCAGGAATGATAATGGCAGAGCTAAAACCGAAATGGCTTCTCCAGTCCCCATCCGCGCCACTTGATGCTCGACGATGTCGTACTTGCGCATTGCGAGATATGAAGAACAACGAGTCGCGGAAAGCGTGCGGATCAGAAGATAAATCGGTCTGCCCTCTAAGTCTGGTCTCGGATAAGTTCGAGCATGTATTGCGCGCGACCCGATTCGTCGAGGGATGCAAGGACCAGGATCGTCTGGCGCGGTTTTTGCACCGGAATAGCACGTTGATTAAGCTTCAAGCATATCAGAAAACTATGCGAGATGTCGGTCTGCATGGACAGTCAGCTCAGTCGAGGGAGAAGTCGCTTGCTATGACATTAAGAGACTGCACAATGTTTATCAAGGTAGCCTTATCGACCCTGGCTTACCACTTCGTCACTAATTGCGCGCAGATGCCACTGGACGGAGAAGGGCCCATGGAAGTCCGTCTAGGAGACCTCGATCTGAAGACGGGGGCCGGGGGCAAGGCGCAATACTGGCTTGAGTTGGAGAATCGACTTATCTCCCAGGGCTGGTATTTAGGGACCAATTGTGGCCAGACTTCGAGCGAGTGCCTCTTGCAGGGTCCGTCGAAGCATTCACAACAGTAACATCACTATACCTTTGGTCTCCTCTCCTCACCTCTACTACTACACTAATGGGGGATCACCGCACCTGGCTCGCACTGACCTGGGCCTAGTAGTATAGAATCGAACTGGGACTGGGAGTTCTGATTCCGAATCGTTATCATGTACACTACAGTTATCTAATTATTAATCCTTGCCCTCGGTGATTCTTTACTATTCGCATCTGAAGCTGGTTTCCCGATACGGCAGGTACGCTGGACGGACTCGAGACACACGGATTAGGAAATAGGTACTGAAAGACCTTAGTGGCATAGTTGCAAGTCATCATGCATTCGGTTTAGGCCGACCAGAGCAATTGGACGTGTCGAGAGATTAGTTATCTTGCTTGTCTGTCTGCTTATCTCTATGCTGCTTCTGCAGGCCAAGCAGGCTAAGGGGAACGAGAAGACCCCATCAACCGGCGAGAGACACATGAGACAAATAACAGGGAAGGACCTGGCATCGTATCCGTATTGAAGTATGGAGTACAGATTAGAGTAGCTGTCCTCGTATCCAGGCCACCGGCGATCATATCCATGTTACATCAGTGAAAGAGCGCGCATCAGCCTCATAAAACACATTTATTTCAGGATGAAGGACCGTAATAGACACATCTCCTGCCGTATTAACTGCTAGAATAAGATCAATATATATTAAAGGTACATGAGCCAAGATCGAATTGCTTTTCAAGCCCGCTCCACGACTTCCCAATAAAAAAAGCATTAAGAAGAACAGTAAAGATTGAAGCAGAAAACCTGGGGAAACTAAGCCCTCCGAGTTGCCTTCTTCGTGGAACGTCTGTTCTCCTTCTCCTTCTCGCGATCGAGGTACTTGCGCTGCTCGTCCGCAGTCATACCACGGAGGATACGCTCTCGCTCTTCCTTCTTCTGCTTTTCCGTAGCGACCTTGCGTTCCTCAGCCTTCCCTTCTTCGTCGGCACGGCGGAGCTTCTTGATCTCGGCTTCACGAACGTTCCGGACCTTGCGCATCACCTCAGCACGGAAGTGCGCAGACGCAACGAGCTTGTCTGCGAAACCGAGGAATTGCTGGAACAGCGGCAGATTACTGGCGTAGGCATCAGATGCGGAGGGAATGCGCATCGAAAGGCTGATACGCTTCCTGGGAGTGGCTTCCTCGACCCTAGATTAGTTAGAATTTGTACGCATGGATGGCAATAGCACTTACTTCACCGGCTTGTCAGTCGGCTGGTCAGTAACAATCAAGTACTCAAACTCATGGCCGGCCTGCTCAATGGCCTTGATCAGCTCGGGAGTGAGAAGCGCCTCAGTAATCTCAGCGCTCTCCGTCATCACAGTCACCCAGGGAGGCAATTTGGCGTTTTCCTTAGTAAAAGTGATCGAAGCATCGTAGCGGTCCTGACGGAACTTGCGCATACTACTTTTGTGTACAATAGCCCAAACAAATCCATCATAAGCCGAGTTGTTAACCTTTAAAGAGGACGAATCCTTGGCGGGAACGGGAACCAGATCCTTCTCCTTGCCATCGAACGCATACGAAGTAGCTTCGATCCTCTCAGCAGGAGCAGGCCAGCTCTCCCAGAAGAAGCTGAACGTATAGTCCATCCAGTAAGTCACCGGGTTGTACCGTTTAGGCAGCTTGACCTTGATATCAACAAAGGCAACATTCTGCCGACCTGTAGCGTAAGAGGTGAACTCCTGAGGAGACTTCTCATTGAGCAAGCTATCTGTAGAAGCCGATTCGGGAGTCATAGTCCCCTGGAGGCCACCGAATCCGACCACGGCAAATTCGTTCCGGAGAGCAGTCGCGTGAGCCTTAGCCCATTCCTTCGCCTTACGTTGGTTCTTCCGCGTACCCCAACAGATGGAAAGCGACAATCAGGATAATAAAGGGCAGGACCATCGCTTCCTGCATGAAGTCCTTGGGCGATGTCCGCTCCCACACCCGGTACCATGCCGTGTAGGGAACGGTAGCTCTATTGCTCAGCGACGGACCAAAAATAGAGACAGGAGAGGGTTGAGGAGCCTCGACAAAGTCCGCAAACTCTATACAACAAGAGTATTAGACGAGACCAGCAATTGCAGCCATCATAAAAGAATCGGAGTTGAACTCCGGACGGATAGCTTACCATCGTCGGGCTTGACCGCACCGGACGAGTCAGCGCCGCCAAACACGTTCTTGAGCATGCCAGACATTGTGAGTATGGAGGAAGTACAATAGCACTAAAGCCAACCTCTGGGAACATGGATGGTGGCAGAAGGGCAGGCGGTGGAGCTAAGCTTAAGCGGCCAAACCATGGGTAAAAAAGCTGGAGACAGCGCTAAACCCATGAATTGATATTCATTGGTTGAAAAAATATAGTTAAAAATTGTAGGTTGTTCAGATATATATTATGGGATATGAGTATACTTCGAGTCGCGTTCGATGACCAAAACACCCTTCGTTTCCGCCGTCCGTTCTAGCCTATATATACAAATCGTGTGTCGCCGGTAACCTGGCCTATCTCCATATCCCTAGCACCGCTAGAAGAGATCTGGTAAGCAACCTCCTCGAGGCATCCCTCCGGGGTAATCTACACTGCCAAGCACTCACTGGCCGTAAGCCGGTGGTGGTGTTTCTTCCGGTGAGTCGTGGCCCCAGAAAGAACCACAGTTTGGTGACATTAGTTTCTCCTCACGCATCCGGCGCGCGATTCCACCCGCTAGTTTTTCGACCAAGACTTGGTCATCAATGCTACTACCGCTCAGGCTATCGTGCGGAAATGGAAGGCCTGCCGCGGAAAGCTGTCGTGTAGGGCCCGAAGAGGGACCAACTTCCTGGTGAGTTGCAGGGCGGACACTTCCAATAGTCACATGCACGTCGTTAGTCTTGAAGGTGTTCCGAGGAGGTTCAGAAGGTCTAGAAGGTCCAGCTCGATCACGGAGGATTTATTTCGCTGGACATGTCGCGAGGCAAAGAGCGCGAGAGGCTTATACGGCGTTTCTCGGGGATAGCGGTGAGGCGCTGGTCACTGAGTAGTCACTTGACACCTTATAAAAGCGGGCCCGTAATAGGAAATAGAATATGGAGTTTTTTGTAAATTCGTCAACAGATATGGATCCCCAGGATCAATTCGACTTCGTTGAGTAAATGTGGGACAACTAGCCCATTGAGGCTAAAATCCCATGAAAATATGATACATCGTACAGGCCATCATAAGAACCTGAGTGGACGGCCATTGGCCCGGTCCTAGAAAATACAAGGGAAGCGCCTTGTCCAAACTGGTACAGACCAGCATGGAGCAAGCGCCAAAACAGATGTGCAGAGGCTGCGCAGGTGAAGGCGTAGAACCTATGCAGTGCGGTGTGGTTGGAGGTGGAGGGGTATAATGAGAAGTTAGCATCATTGCTAGATCAACGCCACTGAATACCAAAAAGCTTTAAGGCGCTAGTCACATTAGCCTTCTCTGAGGCTTTTTCGAGGACGATGCGAGGGTGGCCCTTCACATCCAATGCAAGAAGCTGGTACTCGAAATTGCTCTTATCCAAAGGCTTCATCATGTGCACGACCACGACCCCGGAGTTGAGAGGACCCTCGACCTGGAGACCACAGTTAGTGCACGTATCGCAAATCGACCGGAAAGGGTATTATACGTGGAAATGCATGCGAAGGTGCTCACGACCCAATCGATCCTTTTCAGTTGATGATCTAGTCATTGTCAGTATTCCGTTTCTATAGTATTATGCACAACCCATAGAACCTACGCGATAGGTTTGTTTCGTGCCCACCGGCTCGTGGTCTGCTCGCCATATGCCTTGATCTCTCTTCGATCACCGAGCAATCTTATACACTCGGGGTCATCTTTAATGCGCCCTACCGCTGTTTCAAATTGCCATGTCTTGCTGTTTGGCGACAAAACTTCGAGATAGAAAAGTGTGAAGACTCCACCCTAGTCAGATCATAGTCAGCAACTACTTGCCAGAACCTCGTGAAAGAATGCACTCCATACCGTCAGTACTGCTCCAGCTAACACAATAACGAAGTTGAAAGATTGTTGTGTTGCCCGCGCAACCTTCTCTCCCCGACTCAAATCGCCCCACCGGACTCTTCCATCGTCTGACAAGACAGTAATGCTTTTCTTCCTTGGCGAAGTACTTTGAGGCCCGCTACCTATGTTGCTTTGCGTGGCGTAGAGGCGAGTGATCTGTGTCTGTATGCGGGGAAAAGGGTGGAGGACAAGAGATGCCGGCGATAGTCGGGGAAGAGCGCGTAGCTGGATATAACTCATTGCGAATGATCAAACCGAACGTATTGGAACGAGTTGAAGTATGTGAGTCGAATACCGGACTCGATCATCTTCCAGCCTTGGAAAGTTGCTATCGATATCGGCAGCACGTGATTACAATACAGTATTACAATACGACCGTCGGCGGAAATTGCCCGGCCAAATGGGAGGCGTTGTATGACGATTACACCAGGCACCGGGTCGAGAGTCCACGTTCGCCGTTCCCGACTCGGGATGCTTCGCTCTTTGCCTAACCTGAGCCCTCACATTCTCGCCCAAACCCCCCTTTTCTTTTTCCTCTTTCCCATTGATCTCTCCTCGGTACCATTATGAGTGCCACAAAGGCGCAGTCTCAAAAAATCTTTGAGAAGGTCAAGCTGAAGCCCGCGAACAAGGTGCGCACACCCCCACCCCGTACACTGTATGATTGTGGCACTCGATTCTGATGTTTTCGCTCTCAGGTGTGCTTTGACTGCGGCACTAAAAACCCGACATGGTCTTCAGTTCCATTCGGTATCTACCTGTGCCTTGATTGTTCGGCTCACCACCGTAATCTCGGCGTGCACATCTCCTTTGTCCGATCAACAAACCTCGACCGTACGTACCCTACCACACAGATTACGCGCCGAATGTGCCGGTAGATCAACGCTAACATTTTATGCAGAGTGGCAATGGGAGCAACTGCGCTTGATGAAGGTTGGCGGAAATGAGTCTGCGACCAAGTATTTCCAATCGCACGGAGGTTCTGCTGCGCTGGCGAGCAAGGACACCAAGGTGAAATACACGTGCAATGCGGCTGTCAAGTATAAGGAGGAACTCAAGAGGCGCGCTGCGCTGGATGCGCAACAGTCAGTGGATCCAATCTCGGTGGAACTGGCACGACTAGGTGCTAACCAGTGTCACTGCTTCATTTAGGCACCCCGGGGAAGTCATCATTACAGATCTTCCCGCTGGCACTCCCTCAGATGGCTCGGAAACCCCTGCTGGCGACGGTGACGACGATTTCTTTTCCTCTTGGGATAAGCCATCGATCAAGCGTCCGAGCAATCCCCCATCGCGCACCAGTACGCCCCCCATCGTCAGCCGGACCAGCTCTCCTTTCTTGAATGCCGGCGCCAACGCAAACGGATCCCGCTCAAAATCTCCCCTGTCTGCTTCGGAAGAAAAGACCGCCTCTCCCGCGCCGACTGCTATCCGGCCCACCAATGTTACCCGGAAGACCTCTACAGCTACCTCTGCGAAGAAGGGCAGTGTCCTCGGTGCCAAGAAGGCGCCCAAGCTCGGGGCTAAGAAGGTTGCCGCTGCGGATATTATTGATTTCGATGAGGCAGAGCGCAAGGCCAAGGAAGAGGCTGAGCGCATTGAAAAGCTTGGCTACGACCCCGAGGCTGAGCAGGCGGAAGCTGAGGCCAAGAAGGCCGCAACTGCTGCCACCGCTGTCCCGATCGCTTCTCCTATCCCAGTCAGCCCTGCTGGCAAGTCTAATGAGCGAAGCTCAGGTGATGTGGAGCGACTAGGCATGGGTGTGAGCAGACTTGGATTTGGCCAGGTGTCAAAGCCCGCTGCCCCCAAGAAGCCAACTTTTGGTTCTGTTGGCCCTGCCAAGCCCAGCCCTGCTGAGGGTAAATCTCCCACGCTGATCGTGCAACATATGCATATGAAAGATAAGCTGACACCCGACACAGAAGCGGAACTCACCCAGACCAGAACCCGATTTGGGGCTCAGAAGGGTATCTCGTCCGATGAATTTTTCGGACGGGACCGGTTTGATCCCGCCGCCCAGTCGGAGGCCAAGGAACGTCTCCGCCAATTTGATAGTGCTACATCCATTTCCAGCAACAACTACTTCGGCCGGCCCGAGGATGAGGTCAGTTCACTTGACGATGGCTATGGTGATATGGAGGTTGCCGCCAAAGATTTCATCCGCCGCTTTGGTATCACGGCTGGAGATGATCTTGAGAATCTGTCGCATCTTGTCGGCGAAGGTGCAACTAAGCTACAAGGTGAGCACGTCTTTGTTTTGATATGAAAACACTTCTTGCTGACTGAATATCACCAGGTGCTATCCGCAGCTATTTGAACAACTAGCTAGTCGCCTACGTTCTCAGATATTATGCCTTTTATCACTTCAATGCCTTATCAGGGAACAATGAGCATGCAACATTGTTCCCTGACTAAACCCCAATCCCGTCCTCTGCGTGCGCGACGTATACTGTGTCTCGCCTGCCCATCTCGTGCCCCTGTCAATTTCTTTACGTGGAAAATGATTGCGATCAGCAGTCGGCCAAAAACTTGGGTTTCATGTCATTCTGGTTTGCAATCTGGCGCGTGATTGACGATTTTTTGTCTTTTTCCTTCTTCGCATCCCTACACAGCAACACGGGATGATGGAAGGGAATGTACCCTTTGTTTTATTTTGCTCATTTCGTCGATATGGTTTAGGATGATCGAGAATTCATGATTTGATATTATTGATAGACAAGAACTTTTGACAAAAGCACAACTCCAATCTCTCAAGTCGCACACTGCTCAACCAAAACTCCATGATGAATGAAGAAAACACAGTAGTACATCATAGTACATATCACACCCAAGTGTTGAATACAAAAAAAGGCCCCATATATACAGCAGCAGGGCAATGCTATATGATAAGTGACATAGCGAGTACGATTTCAATCAACGCGATAAATCGCATCCGCAACCTTCGTCACCTGCGACATCTCATGGACATCATGAACACGAACAATATCCGCCCCACCAGCCACACTAGCAGAGACAGTAGCAGCCGTACCCCAAACGCGCTCCCGCGGCGTCTTCACTCCAGTAAGATGACCAATGAACCTCTTCCGGCTGGGCCCCATCAACCACGGGAAGCATTCAAGCCCTGGCATCGCACGCAGCCTTGGCAACTCCCGCAAGATCTCCAGATCATGCGGCTGGATCTTCGCAAACCCAAGACCCGGGTCGAGAATGATGCGCCAGCGCCGGATCCCCGCTTCCTCGGCGGCAGCAATGCGCGCGCCCAGCTCAGCAGCTACTTCCGGGATAACGCCGGCCGGGTACTCGTGCAGGGTCGTCATCGTCTGCGGCGTGCCGCGCATGTGCATCAGGATTACGGACTTCCCGATTCGCGCTACTGTCGGCAGCATCTCTGGGTCGAGGAGGCCGGCTGAGATATCGTTGACGATGTCTGCGCCGGCGGCGCAGGCGGCTTCTGCTACGCTGGCGCGGTAGGTGTCAATGCTGATGGCGATGTTGGCGGCTTCTGGGATAGAGGTTCGGATGTGCTGGATTGCTGGCACTACACGGGCGATCTCTTCGGCGGCACCTACTGGTGTTGAGCCTGGGCGCGTACTCTCGCCGCCGATGTCGATGATTGTTGCGCCAGAGGCGATGAAGTTGAGCACTGTCTCCGTTATGTAGGTTAGGTCTGTTGGACAGTGCTTGCCGCCGTCGGAGAAGGAGTCTGGCGTTAAATTAAGGATTGCCATGACGTGGGTGTTGCGCTTGGGGTCTGTTGCGCGTAGGGATGGGAATAGTGGTGAGATTGGGGTTGTTGATGTTGGTGTTGGTTCTGGTGACGGGAGAGCCTCTAGATGTGCGCTGTATGTTTGCGCGTCCTTCCCTGGCAGTGGAGGGTATTCATTTGGGATCAACCTAGATTTGGGCGGTTAGTATTTTCCTTTGTATGTCGATATTGCATATGTATAAGGTCATCGGGGGCGTACTGGCTGAGAGGTCGCAATACAAAGTCTCGCTCAAGCATCAGATTGTGCGGGATGTTGAGACGCTCGTGAGAGACGATCTCCTGATCATATAGTAGGATATCCAAGTCAATAGAGCGTGGGCCTTTGTCGATGAGCTTCTTTCTGCCCATCGCAATCTCAATGGATTGAATAGTGTCCAAAAGATCCAGAGGTGCAAGTGTTGTTTCCACCTGAGAAGATTAAGAATTTGCTACCAAATTTGGACATTAACTTGGATAGCATACCTCGCATACACCATTGATAAACGTATCTTGATCAAGCACATACATCGGTGTGGTCTCGAACAATGAACTTGTCCTTTTCACTTTGATACCGACTCGGTCCATTTCAAGACAAGCCTGCTCAATCATTTCTACTCGGTCTCCGACATTGCTTCCCAGGGCAATGAAAGCCCGGTGGATGTCTGGACAGCGGAATTTCAAATTCATCTTGGAGTCAACTGCTTGCGCAGTGGAGAAATTCTTAGCAGGCGGGGTCAAGCGCGACGACGTTATTGAAGGTCGTGATAGACCATTTCTGGGGAGTAGTGCGGATGCCAATTGGGCTGTATATTCCAATTGGGACTGATAAGGTGACCCTATTGGATATTAGTTTGGATTAAAGTGCAGTCGGGGCAAATCAAAAGAAGGAAAAAAAAATGCGGGAGAGGCATATTTCCCCATTGGGACGATATGCCGATAAGCGTGGGAGGGGCTTCTAAAGAGTAGCTAGGCACATACCCAGGCTCTGGGGTGAGGATATTCTATAACTATAAGATGTCGTCAGATTCGCCACAGTCAAGTGGTTAATTGGGTGGCTTTACCCTGTATGCAACGGTCGATGATGACTCCTGGCCGGAGCTGCAGCCAATGGCGAACGTCTTAGCGGCCTGCCAATTTGCCGTGAATGAGGAATGAAAGATGGCAATGGAGGGGCTCTCTGGATTACCATGGCCTTCATGCTGATTTGAAAAGGAACGTAAGAATACAAAAAGTGTAAGAGCTTCGAGTCAGTTCTAGTAACTTTCACGTGGTTCGCCTTCTTCTTGGCGTTGCCATTTTGACACCTGAATGCCTTGGCGCCTTAATGCCTTGATACCATGTAATATTAAGAGATACATGGCGTACTGCCCTTTATTTGACAATAGTCTGACTTGCTCAGTTCTGATTTTAAAAGAGAGGTAACTCCTTGCACATTAATTGACCTATTAGACTTGCTACCCTTGAGGCAAACTCTGCATGGTGACTGCAGCAATAAGCGAGAGAACCTGCAGTGATGCTGCCCCGTGTTTCACGCCCAATCATAGGAAACTAGAATGTATGTGATAATAAATCTGCAGCTTCAAATTTCAGAAGTTCGATATCTATCACATAAAACAACAAATAAAACAGCGGTGATGACATATATTTAACCGGGCTAAAGGGAGCATTTGAACTATCATCTACTGGGAGAAGCTGGAATATAAACATAAGGACTGGCACTGACACCTGGTAGAGTATACCATCCGTCCTCCTCCTCAATTTCCACTGCATCGAGTCAACAATGAACCCATCAACTGCCGGGTCGAATGACACCTGGATCGACTCCAAGCAAGTGGATCTGACCAGTAGAAGACCACCTGATTGCTTCACGTCGTGGGCGGTGCGAATAAGCAAGTATGATCATGTTATAAATCTCTACACCATGAATGCAACCAACGGCTAGACAACAGCAATGTGTGACAATGCAGACTGTAAAGTTGGGCATGCTTTCTCACCAGTGTGGAACGTATCGAGCTTTCTCTACCCTGCGTGTTCATCAGATAAGGCACATATACTGGGATACATGACGGTATGTCACTAATTAATTAACTAGCAGTAACTGACACTGCAAATCAGATAGCAGAGCTGTATTATCCTCAAAAGAGGCCAAGGAAGCAAACGAAGATTTATCCCATGCCCTGGAGCTGAAGAACAACCATCCGGGCACATCAGAAAGGGGAAAAGCTATGAAGAAGTTTCCATCCCAAAAAGCTCTTGAATTGGTTGACATGAATACCGGGGAGGGACAACAATTTGTTGAACTTCTCAAACTCTGGGCTGATGACGAAATTGGGTTGAAAAATCCTAAACAATCGAATGTGTTGATGAATACCTCCGCTTTCCGCAAGTTGACGGAGGGAGGAGGTATGACATGGTACCCCATTGACGCCCGAATACGAATGGTGGCTGATGTGTTTTAGGGCGTATTGGCATTGGGTGACATTCTCTCACGGGCATATCTTTACACAGGCAGATTGGGACTCGATAAAAGATTTTCTGAAATGTGCCGATAGGGTTCTCGTATGGATCAATGACTACTTCAGTTGGCCCCGGGAGCGGCTTTATGAGCAAGGCAAGATTGCAAATGTGATTGAGTTCTATATGTGAACCAAGGGCCTCTCCGAGGAAGAAGCCAAGCAGAAAACAAAACAGGAATCCTGCAAGGCGAACACCGTTTCCATGACATGTGTGTTGAACGGTTTGCACGAGAGCCAAACCTTCCCCATCATATAAAGAAATTACTCCAAGTCGCTGAGATAGTGATGGGTGAATACAGCTACCGGGCGTCGACCTGCCACCAGGCTAGACTCCTGGAAAGAGCAGGGCCCAACCGCAGAGACTGTCTTCCATGGACCAGAAAATAATGAAGTGTTTTGGGACTCGTTTTCCCAAACCCACCCTACAGAAAAAGCGCAGCTTGCCAAGTCAGTCAAAATAAGCCTAACTTCTAACGGGACTCAAGGGAACATGAAGACCAGTTTGGACTCGATGCCATGCACATCCGTTCTAGATGACTCGGTTCTCCTTGCTCCAGCTTGTTACATTGGGTCTCTTTCGTCCAAAAATGTGCGTTTCAAAACTTATCGATGCATTTAGCGTCTGGATGCAGGTGTATCCTAAACCACTGACAGCAATTAAGGATGTGATCAATGATCTTCATAACTCTTCCCTAATCTTAGACCACTTCTAAGACAACTCCCCACTCCGACGCGAGAAAACGGCAACCCGTCTCATCTTCGGACCTGAGCAATCAATCAACAGTGCCACATACATCTTTATCAAAGCAGCTCAAACAGTAGACCCTGGGTACTCCTCAGACGACGACTACCCTCTTACAGGGTCTTGAGACACTCTTTATTGGTTAGAGCTTGGATCTAAGCTGGAGGCAACAATTCTATTGCCCTACGGAATCTGAATACCCCACTGTGGTAGAAAAGAAGTCTGTGCCACGTTGACCATGATCGTTCAGCCCATGCAAACCAATGGCAAACCACTACCCTTCTCATATCGGGTTTCACCCCTGACCCGCCTTTTTCGGCCG